TGTTTTGATCCTAAGTTTTGTTATGTAATGAGCGTGATAAATGTGGGCAGTAAAGGTGGTTGAACTAAACATAACTATTGTTGCTATGAGTTGAGGGCAGCAAGTCAGATGAACTTACCATTTCACGGTAATTTAATATAAGTATTTAAAAAAAAACACGATGAAAAACGTGGACTTGGAGTATTCTATTAAATGCTACTAATCTTAAGTTTAAAATAATCACAATCTACATACTTCATAATAAATATTTTTAGATGAATTATAAAAATTCCTATGCGTACACAGCCTACACACATTACATTATATTTAATTAATCCTAAGTTAATTTGCACTCTCTAAATATTTAATACATAAAAATATTAACAAATATCATGCAAATATATATTTGTGACTTTTTTTCCTGTGACTTTTTTTCCTGTGACTTTTTTTCTGTGTTTTTTTTTCCTGTGTTTTTTTTTCCTGTGACTTTTTTTCCTACAATCCCCCCCCCCCCCCCCCACCCTCCCCCTTCTCCACCCCCTCCAAGAACAGCTGGTTAAAAAATATTTGAAACCCCATAGTCTCATTTAAAGACACATATTTTAAAACCAGTTTTACGCAGTCATCGAAAATCGTAAAGCTAAAATAAATACCTATTAAGTGTACATAACATACAGAAATGTAAATGTCGCTTGCGTTATAATTAAACATGTATTGAGTTGCTTGCGTTATAATTAAAGCTGTAGTAGGTTGCTTGCGTTATAATTAAAGCTGCAGTAGGTTGCTGGCGTTATAATTAAACCCGCAGTAGGTTGCTTGTGTTATAATTAAACCTGCAGTAGGTTGCTTGTGTTATAATTAAACCTACAGTAGGTTGCATGTGTTGTAATTAAACCTCCAGTAGGTTGTTTGTGTTATAATTAACGCTACAGTAGGTTGCATGTGTTATAATTAAACCTACAGTAGGTTGCATGTGTTGTAATTAAACCTACAGTAGGTTGCTTGTGTTATAATTAAACCTACAGTAGGTTGCATGTGTTATAATTAAATCTCCAGTAGGTTGTATGAGCAACAACCCAACCTGCATCAGATTGCATGTGTTGTAATTAAACCTACAGTAGGTTGCATGTGTTGTAATTAAACCTGCAGTAGGTTGCATGTGTTATAATTGAACTTGAATTTGCGTGTGTTATAACTAAACCTGCAGTAGGTTGCTTGCGTTTTAATTAAACCTGTAGTAGGTTGTATGAGCATCAACCCAACCTGCATCAGATTGCATGTGTTGTAATTAAACCCTCCTCTAGTTCAGGCTCACCAACTGACGTGACCGTAAGGGCCGAAACAAATCCTAAGCCCTCACGTGCACATCTGTTCTGCGTGAGTACTGTTGGAGGCCTGCCACAACTCACACGATGGTGACCCCCCCCCCCCCCACCACCACCACCACCAACAGCGCCATCTGTGCGCGCGTTATACTCCCCAATATTCCATCTGGTACAAAGACACTTATCTATTTAAAACAACTAACACATTCCTATATTACATTTACATTTATTGTTGTTTTTTTCGCCAATCGTGAAATAGCTTTATTTCATATCGTGAATTAAAATATATTGCCAATTTTATTTTATTTTTAAAAGATAAAACCGCGTGACTCATCACGTGATCATATTCACGTGACTAAAATACATGTCCTTTCAGTGTTTCTTTCAGGCGTTTCGGGAATGGGGAGGGGTGGTTGGCACTTGAAACTTTCGAGTAGGGTTTCTTCCAGACTTTTTTCTCCGGGGGTGCACATGATATTTTCTGGGGGGGGGGGGGGGTAGACTATCTTCGAGGGGGGGGGGGGTCGGATTTAAATTTCAGAGTGGGGTGGAGGCTACACTCAAAATGTATATATTTTCTTTATAAATTCCTTTTCTGTGGGTGGGGGAGAGGGGGGGGGGGGCTTTGGAAGGGGGATGGGAGGGGCAGTTCCAACAGTTCCAACGCTTATGCCTGTCACGATGTTGATGAAAATGCCAGCAGACAGTACAGCAGACGAGGCTAGTTGAGAACCGCGCGTCGGGTTTATTGCTGCTAATTGCTGCTTGTTGCCTGGCTGGACCGCGGGGGTGACGTCAACGATCGATGACGCCTGGTTATCGGCGTGACGTCATTTGACCCCCTGACCTGTTAATTGTGTTATAGCATGCTGTTGAGGGGGGGGGGGGCAAAAGGGTGTTTGAAATGGGTGTGGGGGGTGTGGTGGGGTCGTATGATGGCAGTTGTGAAGAGGGGGGGTGGGGCGGGTGTGCATTGAGCACATATAAAATACTGTAATGGAATGTCATCGTAATTTGTTGATGGGTTAGGGATAGGGCTGGGGTTAGGGAGGTTGGGGTTAAGGATAGGGATGGGGTTAAGCTTAGGGTCAGGGTCAGGGTTTAGGGCTAGGGCTAGGGTTTAGGGCAAGGGTAAGGGCAAGGGTAAGGCTAAGTGTTAGGGTTAAGTGTTAAGGTTACAGTTAGGGTTATAATCAGGAACACGCATACCTGTTAAAAACAGCCAATCAAGTTGAAAGTGGCATGTCCTGTAGTACATTCCCACTAGTCTACCTTTATTTAAATTAAATAGGCCTACTTCTTTTATTAAAATTAAATTCCTGTTACAAAAGAATTCCCTTAATAAAGCATAATTATTTTTATATTATTTATTTTTGTTAAAGTTTTGTTATGAAATGTAATTTTGTTGATACAACTTAAGTTCTGTTTACAATATTTTTGTTATAAAATATAATTCTGCTAATATAGTATACTTTTCCTTATAAAAAAATAACGCTTCGCTAACTGTTACCCGCAAATTATTGCCCAACTCTACTTGACCTATTATTCAACATTCCAAGATAGCATTCACCAAGCTTGATATTCTTTCTCATTAATTAGTACATCTGCACCCACAGCGAACACCCGCCTCTTTAAATAATTAATGTCGTGTATGTACAAACTTTTTACCCTCATATCGATCTATCAGCCAATCAGCCGTCAGTAGTATCACCCTTAAGGCACACCTTAAATCTAAATCCAAACCTTAAGTTAAACTTAAACTCAAATCTTAAACCTTAAACTCAAACCTTAAATTAAACCTAAACCCTAACCTTAAATCAGTGGCGTAGCCAGAATCGTCTCAAGGGGGGGGGGGGGGGTTCCAATTTTTTTCCCGGGGACAAACTTTCGATTTGCACCCTCCCCCCTCAAACTTTCAATTTGCACCCCCCCCCCCTCAAACTTTTGATTTGCACCCCCCACTCAAACTTTCGATTTGCACCCCCCTTCATACTTTTTATATACCGAGGGGTCTATGGGGGGGGGGGGGGGTTATGACCCCCCTAACCCCCCCCCTGCCTACGCCACTGCCTTAAATTAAACCTAAACTCAAATTTGAACTCAAATTTGAACTCAACCCTAAATTCAAACCTAATTTAAACCTAAACTCAAACTGCATCGATCACTCCTACCTACCGTTAGCCAAAACCCTAACCATAATTATGATCAAACAGTGTGGCTCTTAATACGATATAACACTAACCGCTAACACTAGCTCGGACACCTCTTATGAGCATGAGTGATCACCCCATCCAACCTCCCCTCCCCCCCCCCCCCCCCCGTGCCGCCCGCTGCTATTTGATCCGATCAGCGCGGCAGGTAGATAAGGGGGAAGCCACTGACTCCCTCCCCCCCTGCCCCCCCTCCCCCTCCTGGTAAAAGATAGGGCGTTGGAAAAGACTAAAGTCAATAAATAGCTCACAGCCGAAAGGGATTTACCCCTCTCTTTCCACCCACCACCACCACCACACACCTCTCCCCTTCCCGTGTGTGGCTTGTACCATCTGGCAGCCCAAGGGGGGGGGGGGGGGAGTGAACGTCGCAGGGTAAACAAGAGTGGCAGACGATCGCAGTTCTGCTTGGCGAAAAAGACTTTTTCCGCTCGTCATAAGCAGTGCGAACTGGCGGTGGGCAGGCCGACAGTGGGATCACTCTTGCCTTATCGTAGACCCGGGCCTTGCCGTGCGTGTGTTTATAGTCTCTGTAACGACGAAATCAGTTTTCTATAAACTCTCTCTTCCCTCTCTCTCGCTCCCTCTCTCTCTTCGCGCCGTCTCTCTCTTCCGTTATTCATAGCTCGCTAGTTACGATTACAAACAGGGACGGCAACTCTTGTTGTGTGATTGATTGGATAGTGTTCCCTTCTGCCAGGTGGTGACCTCAATACCAGTGTGGAGTTTATTAATCTCTTTGATTACTGTTCACTGCGACGCGTCTGTGCATCAAGCGACCTGTGTTGAAGTGCAGCTCTTTACAAAAGAAACACATTTCTTCTAGATCTACCAGGATTGTTTTTATCACTTTGATGGATGTAACAAACTTCAATTGTTTTATTCAATGTGGAGATATATTTTTCCAAACTGACATTCTTTCAAGAATTTATACTTTTGGAAATTAGATCGTATAAGTAAAGTAAGTGGACTATACATGATTTAAGAACGAGTACACTTAATTACTTCAAATCTGAATTTTCGTTATAAAACGTAAAATATTGACGTTGGATTTATAATATGTGGATTTACATGATTTCGAATATAACAGGATGGATTTATTTATATTGTGGTACAGAAGAACGTAACATGTTATTGAGCCAAGTTTAGTGTTGAGATTTGTAAAAAGGAAGGTGGTTGAATTTTTTCTAAAGCGGTGGTTGTTTTCTTACAACCCATGTGCTAAGGTAGCTGGTGTGACGTCATTAGATATCATCTTTTGACCACCTGCCTTGAAGAAACACACCCCCCGCTACCCACCCCTCTATACCATACACCTCGTGACTCGTGACGTCCACCCCCCCCCCCCCCCCCACCATCAACCTCATCAAGTGTGACAACAAGGTGAAAGAATAGACGTCTGTTGGACAGGTGCGTATGTCACGTGACACGTAAGTCAGTTTTTCCCCTTTATCACGTGATTGATAGCCCCTCCCCCCTCCCCCCCCCCCCCCCTGGAGGGACCTGACCTGCTGATATCACTGCAGTGAATCATCTCTCAATGTCATGTCAGGCCTTGGTCCTGGATGTCAGGATACGCGTCAAACTGCTGACATTTTGTATGTGTGTGTATCTTGAGTCACCTCCTGCTCAAATGGTGACCACTGCGAACATGCGGATTTGGTGACACTTTTTTTTCAAACGCAATGAGTCACCTCCTGACCAAATGGTGACCAATATAAACAAACTGGTGACATTTTCTTCTATCGTCTTGAATCACCTCCTGCTCAATTAGTGAGCACTATGAACAAGCGGAACTGGTGACCATTTTCATCCTCACACACTCGAGTCACCTCCTGCCCAAATGGTGACCACCATGAGCAGTGTCAAATTGGTCAACAGTCACCTGCCTCACCACCTAGTCACCACCCACCTGCCTCACCTGCACTACCACCCGTCTCACCACTTCCCCGTTCTCCGGCCGGAGCAGACGATGACCTTGGACTACAGCCTCCCGCAGCGCCACTCCGACGCCGACAGCGACTCGCCGGCCTCCCCGACGGAGTCGGAGGACCGGCACCCGCTCAACCTGTCGGAAACCCCGACGAAAAAAAACAAACGGAAGCTCAGCGAGCCCAAGAAACGGGCCGACGCCGTCGTGAAGAAACTGTGCGCTAAAACTTTGAACACCGACGAAAAAGTTAGTGTCGGTAACGAGGCGCAGAAACCTCAAAAAGGGAAAAAACTCGTCAACGGGAATTCTAAACGGGTTTCCCCGAACTCTAAATCAAAGTCGAAACTTCCGCGAAGAAGCTCATCGTCCACGTCTTCTTCGGGGAGCAGCAGCGACGTCGACGGTGCCAAAGACGCTTCAGCATCCTCTTCGACATCCACCTCAACGCCCACCATCCCATCCGCCGTCCCCAGCAGTATACCGCCGCATTTCATGCATCCCTTATTCCCGGGATTACCCCCTTCAGCTTTAGGATACGTGCCTGGACTGTATTTCGGCGCTCCTCCATTCCACCCGGGACTCCACGCCTCCTTCCCCGCCCTGCCCCTCCCTCTCCAGCACAGCTACCTCGCGGCAGCAGCAGCGGCCGCCGCGGCCCAGACCTCCTCCTCTACCTCCTCCCTCACAGCAACCACCTCATCCTCCTCCCCGTCCAACCCAGACTCGGGAGACAACCCTAAAAGCTCAACCCCACAACGATCTCAACCCCGGTCAACCCAACCAACCACCGTTCGCCCGACCGCGGCGTCAACCTCCACCCACCAGCCGTCCATCCACAACGCCAGCGGTTCCCGATCAGACGACGACGACGATGACGCGTCTTCCTCCCGGGCCCAGTCACCAGAAGACCTCACCCTCGGGCAGAAAATGTCGCGAAAACACCGGAAAAACTACAAAAACATGACCAGGGAACGGCGGGTCGAGGCCAACGCCCGGGAGAGAACCCGGGTCCACACCATCAGTGCCGCCTTCGACGCCCTGCGGCGGGCGGTCCCGTCCTACTCACATAATCAAAAACTCTCCAAACTAGCCATCCTGCGTATAGCCTGCAGCTACATCATGTCATTAGCACGTCTGGCCGACCTGGACTACACGTCTGCGTCTGAGCACATCGGGACGCCGCTGACCTTCGCGGAGTGTGTGGACATGTGCACCAGCACCATACAGACCGAGGGGCGGGCCAGACGACGGCACTGACCACAGTGACGTAGTATTGACTTTCATGGATGAGTTAGTGATGTTGTTTGTGTCAGGTATTATAAAAAAGAATACTTAAAAACTCGTACCACGAAGTTATGTGCATACATAGTCAAAGTGATATATTCTGTGGAATATTGATTCGCACAATCATTTTTAACAAAAACAAAATCTTTGAAGGCCGGATTTGGAGGAGATAAATAAGTCACTGCCGACTTTGACGGCCAATTTGCAAAAGAAAAACAACATTTTGGGCTGTAAAAAATGTGTTTTTTAAATGCAACCTAAATACATATGTTATGTATGTATGTGAGTTTGTGGAATATAATAGTATGTGTGTGAGTGATAAAAATTGATAGAGATGTGTTGTAAGTATGAGTACTTATGCATGTTCGTGAGTATTTCTGCATGGTATGAAACCAGTACTAGACTATTTAAGCCAGGCTTTGGACTGTCCAGTTCTGAAATAACAAAGTTCTAAAATAATGATTCATAGAGCCGGATGCATACTTTCCTACTTTCCCAATCTAATGTATTTTTATTGTCTTTTTGTAACAAATTTTTACACGCTTTATTCGTGTTATACACCCTCACAGTCAAAATTGTTTTACCAAAACTTTTGAATGCCAAAATATTTTAAAATTAAATGTTACTTAAAATGTATTGTACCGTTTCTGAATCAGCTGCTCCTGTTTTTTTTTTTTTTTTGTATTTTGTTTTTTGTTCTAGTTTAAACAATCTTTGTAAGTCTTTACACATGCCTCTAGTGACAAAACAATACTAAACTCATCCATTTAATTACATGACATGTAATTTGTGTACGACAAATTGTTCAGATAAGTTAGCCAGACAAAATATCAAATGTCTAATGAAGACCTATGGTAAACCACAAAGCAACAGTCGGTTGACACAAATGGGGATTGACGAGAAAGTCCTGAGAAAGGAGGAGGACAACATAGCAAGGCAAGCGTTAGACTGGAATCCCCAAAGAAAAAGTAGTTCGGCCAAAGCAATCCTAAAGAAGGACAGTAGAAAGAGAAGCAAGGGCTGCTGGAATTACGTGGGCTCATTTAAAGAGAGCTGCCAGAAATCGAGTCCGGTGAAGGAGTTGCATCCCTTTACACACCTGGGGTTCTTCAAAGGCATAAAAGAAGCGAATTTTTATAAGCCATTTATGAGGCTTTTTAGTTTGAGTTATTTATTTTTAGTTAAATTGTTAGCACATTTGATCAAATGTTACCACATGTATCTAGTTGAATATGTCTTGACTTCTCAGCAACCAACTCAAAACTGCAATCATCTTGTCTTAAAACCACTTTTGTCTTACGAGCTAGACCCGATTGTTAAAGATTTTACTTTAAGACGCAGCTTTAATTAAACGAGCACAAAGACAGTCTTGATTAGTGTCATGATGATTTGAAGCAATGATTGACAGCCATCGACCACTGTGGCACTAGCCCAGAGGTCAGTGGATGGTCAGGGTTATTAAAAACATTGGATAATGCGTTAAACATTAGCACAGTATCCGTTAACCATTAGCACTTTAACAACTGGACCATTAACACACCAACAGATTGACCATTTCATTACCAGTACAATAGCTTGGTAACGACTTGGCCGTTAGCCTTAACATTACAGATGCACCAGACACATTAACTACGTATCAATACACATTATATTTCAGAGACTATGAGCACAATGGCTACTAGAGGCTGGTCTGTCTATTCACATTTTAGCAATCACACACAAGCACTCTGACTAAACGTTAAGATGACGCCAAACACCAACATAACACCACCCACCTAAAGTAACACAATACATAAGACCTACCCCGAACATATCACCAAACACAACACCAACCTCTAACATAACACAACCACCAACATAACACCAGCCACCAAAATAACACCAACCTCTAACATAACACAACCACCAAAATAACACAACCACCAACATAACACCAACCACCAACATAACACCAACCTCTAACATAACACAACCACCAACTTAACACCAACCACCAAACACAACACCAACCACCAACATAACACAACCACCAACATAACACCAACCACCAACATAAAACCAACCACTAACATAACACCAACCACCAACATAACACAACCACCAACATAACACCAACCACCAACATAAAACCAACCACTAACATAACACCAACCACCAACATAATACCTAGCACTTAACATAACACCTACTATGCCATCAAGAACCAAACATGACACCAAACACCATCCAACCTAACATCCCAACAACAATATGTTGCTGATTTTAAAAATACATATAACTTTCCCATCCTTGCTACTGCACATCTGAAGTATTTACTTGTCGACAACCACATTACATCATAACCCAATCCCTAACCCAACCCCTAACCCTAATCGATCATTCACCGGAAGTCAGATTATCCATAATCCACCAGTTTAACTGACGCGATCATTAGTTAGGTACCCAAGGAAAATCGTAGTAAAACATTGTCTAATTTCCTTTGAAAATTAACTTCGTTTTCCCGGGCAGGTATGTTGGTAAACAGTCCCACGGTGATTGAAACCACATTGCGAAACTCCCTTAAAACTTCAGTGTCAAGAAATTTTTTGTCACGTTTTATTTTTTTCTTGTTTCCCCCCCCCCCCCCTTTTAAAACTACAGGTGTGAATTGTCTTGAGAATTTCCTTAACAAAAGGTGAGCTGTTTTTTTTAAAAAAAAAGGTGGTTGATGGCTCACTGCAGTGCACACGCCAACATTAATTAACGTTTAACGCCCGACCCCCTCCCCCTCCCCAATCGTCGTTACCGTAACGTAGTCTTAGGAACTCGTGTAAGGGAGCGCTTATATCACGCAAAGTTCGCAATATTGAAAAATTATGACGTACTAAAAAAAAACTAACATGTAGGTACTTAGTATGTTGTCTATGCTACATCATCATTGACAACAACACACCCAACAACTACAACTACAAAGCAGTGTGCTAATTAAGAGAAATTTAATTACATAAATAGATATTAAATCTTAAACTAAGGTTTAAAAGCAACGGTTAGGATGGAGTTTAGACCAAGGACATATTTGTGCTATATTTTACTGATTGTCTTGTCTATCGTTTGTCTTATGTTTGTATTGTGTTTGTCTTCAGAGTTTCTTCCAGGCATCTCTTCGAACGAAATGGAATTTATATAGAAAACATACTTTTACCATTGTCCCCGCCCCCCCCCCCCCCGAAAATATCAAGTGCCCCCCTCCATCCCCCCGAAGAAAAAAGTCTGGAAGAAACACTGTTTGTCTTATGTTTGTGCTCAATCAGTTCCCCTAAGGTGGTCTTTTTTTATTTTTACACCACACAACTAATCAAAAAACCACTGACAGATGTAGTCCTATCACCCCCACCCTGGACATTTCTAACACCCCCACCTAGGACATTTCTAACACCCCCACACAGGACATTTCTAACACCCCCAACCAGGACGTCCCCAAACTCCCATTCTAAGACTGGCACCATCAAACTATTCCTCACAACAAAGACCCAAAATGTATTAGGAAGTTTTTTCCCTCACTAACCACAAAACGTTTGGCATACTTATACGAAGACAATCAAGCGCTTTGATTGAGTTCTATATGATTTATGCAAAGTATGGTTTGATTTGTTTTGCTTTAAATGTGAATGATTGTGTATTCTCATGGATTATTACATTTTTGAAAGAAAGTGTGATTTATTTTGTTGGTTTTGATTGAAGTGAATGAATATTCAACTTGGATTGCTTTGAATGTGTGATATGTGATTTAATTAAAGTTTGGTTCGTTTTTTTAAATGAATGTGTGATTTATTAAGTTAGTTCTGATTGAAGTTAATGAATATTGAAAGTTAATGATAATTTGATTAAACTTGGGATTGCTTTGAATATATAATGTGTGATACAATTCAAGTTTGATTCGTTTATGGAATGAATTTGTAATATAATATATTTAGTTAGTTGTGATTGAAATGAATGAAATATTTGATTTAACTTGGATTATTTTGAATGAGTGATACAATTCCAGTTTGTTTCGGGTTTTTTTTTTGGAATGAATGTGTGTTTTGATACCATTTTGTTTTAACTTCATGTGGCCGAATATGGTTTTGAACCTGCTATTTTGTTACTACTGATTTTAAATCTGTGATTCAAATAAAATAAAAAATACGAAATTTATTTTTTACTTTGTATTTTGATGAATGTGGATTGTGTGTACTCTTTCGTCGTTTGGTTTGTGGTTTGGTGTCAGAGTTTCTTTCAGGCATCTCTTCTGGGAGCGAAGGTGGGGGGAGGAATGGGGAAGGATAGTTCCGGAGAAAAAATGCCTGAAAGAAACAATGTTTAGAGTTTGTTTTGGTTACGTCGTTAAAGTGTGTTGTTGTAACCTTCAAACCAAACAATATACCACACATTGTGTTACATCACTACACGTCTTTTTACAACTTTTCCAGTCTTTTTAACACCAACACCGTCTTGATTAGTGTCATGATTTAAAACGATAATTGACACTGACCGACCACTGTGGCATTAGCCCAGAGGTCGGTAACACTGCTGACGACATACCTTTATTTGAGGTTAATGCACTGTTATATGCATAGATGACGTCATCAGAGTTTCTTCCAGGCATTTCCAGGCGCCCCCCCCCCCCCCCCCGAAGAAAATCCACCGCCCCCCCCCCTCCCCAAAACGAAATGGAATTTATATAGAAAATATATACTTGAGACAGTGTCCGCCCCCCCCCCCCCGAATATTTCAAATGCCTCCCGCCCCTCTGGAGAAAAACTGGACGTCATACTCTCTCTATGATGACGTTATTCTATTCATAAAGTTATGGGCAGAGAGACCAGGCTATAAACAAAATTGAAGGGTTTCTTTCGAATGTTTTGACTGGATCTTTTCTTCATACAAGACTAGGTCATTCATATACACCAGCTACATCAGCAAATGACTTAATGAACCATACACTGATATAAAGGCATACACACACGCTCCCCCCACACACACACCCTCCCGCCTCCCCACACATACACCACCTCACACCTCATCCATACACACACTTAACTCCTCCCCCCCCCACACACACTCCCCTCTCTCACCCCGTCCCCACACACGCAAATCCCCGCACATATTTCACATCCGCTCACAACACACGTAGTTCTAGATTAGTCTTGGAACTACCAGTAATTAATTCCCTATTGTCGCACCCAACCCCACCCCCACCCCGCCACACGCCCTCTTACCCCCCCCCCCCCCCCCCAGTGCCGCCAGATGTTTGAATCTACAGCTCACAACAAAGACGGATTGACGCAGCTGGGCACCCCTCGTCAATATCCACAGCACGTGCCAGCCCCCCCCCCCCCCCCCACACACACCATCTCATCACACATGTCGTCAATCTCTAGTTGGCATTAACACTATAGTAGCTGTTATATTGTGACACCCCCCCCCCCCCCGCATTGTTGTTAGACTACAACAACCCACCCCTCACTACACACACTGTTGTTATACTGTAATATTCCTCACTGGTTGGTGTAATATGGTAACCCCCCCTCCCTCTCCACTGTTCACATACACTATAACACCCCACCCCTACACTGTTGTTATACTGTAACATCATAACATACCTTAATGCACTTACCCGTAGTCTACCACATCAGCATCACTTACACA